AAAAATTTTAACTTTTTAATTTTTATTCTATAAATCTTGATAAAAAATCTATACTTAATTCACAAAGAGTGAAAGTTAAATCCAAAATTCTTCATAAATTGTTTACTAAAATTAGTAAAAAAAATTTAGAGTAAAGCCGCATTTATTTTTATACGTAAAATAGTATAATATCTTTAAACAATACTTGTTATTTTGTTGCATAATTCAAAAAATATTATTCGTAGTATTATAATATTGGTTATACTTTTAACCTTATACGTCATTTCGTCGCGGTAATTTCGTTGCGCGTCAATTCATTGCGGCCATTTGATCGCACGACAATTGAACGCGGACGACATTTTGTTGCATGTAATTTCATCGCATATACTTAGATATATTCTAAATAATAATAATTTTACATATTAGTAAATTAATTTTATGATTATATATATATATATATATTTATTTATTTATTTATAAAATGTAAAATTAAGTTCAATCAAAATAATAATAATTGTCTAAATAAAATATTTAAAAAAACAACACAATAATAAAGTATTTTAATCAGAACAAAAAAAAAAAAAAAAATTAAATAAAGCAGTAAAATATTATTATTTATAAAAATTAAAATTATGAGCAATACCTTTAAAAACTATATATTTAAATATAGGTATATACGACGAAATTACACGCGACCAAATGTAGCATGCATTGAAATACACACACGACGAAATGTCATACACGTCCAATTGTCGTGCGACCAAATGCCCGCGACCAAATGACGGGATACCTATAATATTATATAACTATTACCTACTGTATATTTTCTATTATAATAAATTGGTGGAATTTTTTTAAAGTTAATAGTAAATGATAATTGTACAGTACTATAGTGCAGTATAAATAATATAGGTATATTGTAATGACTTAAAATCATGTAAAAGTAAATTTTTGAAATTTTTAATACCTACTTTTCGTAATTATGATTTATGAGTAATATATATATAATGTAGATGTTTATGGTTAATTATAAACCGTTCACAGTAAGTGTTTTTGGATTTGGCTATGACATTTACCATAAAATTACGAATCAAAAAATAAAGAAGAAAAACAGTTGACAAAATGATAAAATATTCTTTAAAATTCTGTTTAGTATATATTTATCTTGTTTTTACCAATATATACATAAAAGTTTAATTGTAGTTTATTAATTATAACTCATAACTTATAATCAGTTCGTTAAGGATGTTATGAAAGTCACTAGAGATTATAAGTAGGTTAATAATATTGTTTTGACGATCTGTAAAAAATACTTATTCAATATATTTAATTCTTGATAAACTTCCTACTACCGATTGTTTAAAGCATATTTTTTTAATAACAACTTAAGGTACGCATAATACTAATATCTACTCGCATTTATTAAATTATAGAATATAGATGATAGGTATATATGTTAATTGAACATTTGATTATTAACACACATTTAATGCTTGATAAACTTCCTACTTCCGGTTGTTTATAGCATATTTTTTTTTATAATAACTACAGGTACGTATAACGATAATACTGATGATGATAGCTATACATGCATCCATTATATTATAGAATACAGATGATATATGTTAATTGAACATTTGATAACTTATGATTATTTCAAGAAAAAAAATCCCCATTAAACTCATGTGGTTTATAAGCTATTAACCCTTTGTAGTTTGATAGTTTTTTTTATCCCTTAAAACTGAATTATCTAGAGTTTACTATAATGTATAATTAAAATTAAAAGTCTTTTAAATCTCTAAAAATATTTAAATATATATTTATGTGTTTTCATCAATAATTCTGCAATTATCAAGTATTCATAATTCATTCATTTTCTTAATACAATATAGGTACAAACATAACTTTAAAATTAATTATTAGGTACGCATATTTATATACAATATATATTTATATTTATATATAATCTAAACAGATTAATAAATATATAGGTATATTTATTTATGTACAATTGTGTATTCATTTACAGGGTTTCACATAATATTAGCACTTCGGTGGGGTAGGTATATTTAATTACAAAAACATTAATCAAATTGCTAAAAAATCCTAAATGAAAAAAATTTTGATTAGAGAGATTTAAAAAGTTTTTTTTCCGATTACAAATTCTGAAATATAATTTATCTATCCGTAGTGCAATAACGTAAATATGCAGCTGATTAATTCCATTTTTATACCTGATAAATGATGCCTATGTGAGTGAATTATTAAAACTATATATGTTTTCTATTAATTCTTATTTTTTCTAGTTTTAAGTGTTTTAATAGTCAAAACGTGTAATTAGTATTTTATGTTAAGAAAAGGTGTTCACCCATCTCGATACATCCTATTGAAGTGTTTAATATGCTTAAAACGTTTGAAAATGTTCTTAAATAAAAGTTCATACTCTACACTTAATATTGTTGAATTGTTGTTCGACCATATGCATGAGTGAACGAAACTTAATATAATATAAGTTAAATATAGTATCTAAGTAATAATTAAATATTTATTAAAATTTTAGATACGATAAGAAAAAAATTTATAGTAGCAATAGATTTTATACTATGTATAGGTAATAATTACAGTGGACAAGAAAAATAATTTATTATCAATTTGTTATTTTTATTCAAACTGTATAAATATTTATGACCTATGAATTCACAAATAATTCATATTATATTAATATATGAAGGTTTAAATATGTTATATTAGAAGAATACAAGAATAACTTCACAAAAACTGTACGACTAGTAAAACTTAATTTTTATGAACAAAAATTCAGAAATGTAAGCTCTAATTCAAAATTGACATGGAAACTAATAAGTTAAGTTACCGACTTTAAATTGAGATCTAAAAGTAATATTATGAAATTAAAAAATATTTATTGTGAAATAAATATTAAAAATAATCCAAATAACAGCATCTAATATGTTTAATAATTTCTTTATAAATATCGTTCAAAATAATTTAAATAAATCTATCACTTCAGAGATAGTCAGAGATAAGTCATGTTCATAAAAACTTTTTTTTTAATGAGGTGTTTAAAAAAAAAAAATCGAATTGTCGAACATACTTGATATTATTAATAGGTTTAAACTGTTTAAAGACAATACAGCTGTGGGTTTAAATAAAGTGTTCCTTAAAATTTTAAAACGTATTATTTTATTAAACATATTACCTAACTTAGGAATAAATAATTCGATCCTAAACTGGTTTAAAACCTACTAACACAATAAAAAATAGACAATGAAAATTAATGAAGTAAATGGAAACACATATGAAATTAAAAATGGTATTCTACAAAGTAGTGTTTTGGAACCCATTCTATTTATTATAGGTACCTTTATATAAATTAAATAAAAATTATAATATTAATTTTGATGAGTCGATAGTTACTTATGCTGATATGACACTTGTCTTCTATTTTCACACAAATCATGAGATAGGGTTTCTGAGAAAGCATGCAGAGGTTTCAGTATGATATTAAAAAGTTTAAATGATAAAAATCTATCTTTAAATATTGATAAAATTGTGTTTATGTCATTTTCAATTAATTAAACAAATTTAAACTACATCACTTTAGCAATTCATGACTGCGTCATTAACAAAATTTGTGATCCACAGACCACAAAACTGCAAAATAATTAAAATAGCTCCAAAAAATTCGATACTTGGGTATTATTTTTGATAATAACTTAAGATGCAATATTCATATTAACAATTTATTAGAAAAGCTACTTTTCATTATTTATTAAATGATCAAAATTAAAAACATGGTACCTAAACAAACAATGAAAATAATCTACTTTGCATTATATCAATAAAATTTTCAACATGGTCTATTGGTATGAGGTGGCCTTAAATATAACATATTAAATGCACTAGTAGTCAATCAAAATAATATAGTTAGGATTTATTTAAATAAATTCACTCTACAAGGATTTACGAATACTAACTATAAAGAATTTGGTGTATTGCCAAAAAATATTTTATGTAAAAAAATAGCTATTATGTATTTAGTTAAGAAATTTAATTCAGACATTGGTAATAGCTAGGGAATTAAGCAATAAAAGATAAATAAGAAAATTTGATATAATTATTAAGTCTGTGATTACATCTTTTAGTCAGTATTTTGTGGATTATCTAAGTCAAACTTTTTTCACTTCATTACTTTTTGAATTAAAAAAAAAAGAGATAGGTACTTGAGGGGGATATTACTAATATTAAATGTTTGATACATTATAAATATTTATTCTTGGAATTAGACAATAAGTTGCAGTAATGTTAAGCAGTTTGTTTCAATTTTGTTATTTGTTGTACCTATATAGCACTTAATTTATTTTATTTATTTTTCGTAAGATTGTTTTATATAAAAAAGACTCTTTTTATCTCTTTCTTTAGAGAATATTTTTTATAATCTTAAAATTAAGTTTTTTAGATTCATTCGATTTTGTAATGTCGAATTTTAACATTAATTTATTCTTATATTATGTTTTTATTTATTATATTTAATAATAATTATAGCTCCCTATCTCCAACACAAGCTGCATAAGTTTACAGCGGGTAAAATGATCAATTCTGTAACTAATTTAATTTTGATCTTAATATATGTTTTGTTTTTAATAAATACATAAAAAAAAAAAAATACATAAGTAAATAATTAACACGTTTATTATAATGGTACTTTTTATACTAGACTATTAATTTTATTCCTTACCACAGATCATACTTGTTAAGTGTATTTTTTTTCATTATTAATTTCATTAGCTATATCAAAAATAACAAATTATTTACTTCTATTTCTTATCAGACATGTTTATAGTATAATTACTTCCACTCCACTCACTGCAGCTTTTATAGTTACTTATATAAAAAATAAAATGATAATGGCTATATGCTTATTAAAACAATTAATATGCTAAAATGCTTAAATGCTTATCACTGTTTAAAATAGACTTTACAGATACCAGAATTGAACTCTACGGGCAAATCTCTAAAATTTAACACTATATAAGTACTTAGTAGTCTAAAAATATATTAGCTAAGTGAATCGCCGACTTACGAAAGATAAAATGACTTCTTCAGGTTCAGGTAATATACAAAATCAATATATTTAACATGTAGTATGTATACACATATACCTATGCGTGATTCTTTTATATAAAATTATTTATTATTTTAAAAACTATAAGTAATTAAACATTTTTTTTTTACTTAATTTCTATTCAAAATAAAACATTACCTATTTGAAAAAAAAATGTATATTGATTTATATAGGTAATATTTTTAATTGTTTTAATTTTTAATTTTTGTTAATTTTTTTAATGACTTCTTACATTTTTTATTTATATTGGAATATTTCAATGCATAAGAATCGAAATTCAGATGAACAGTTTATGAGTTATAAATGTTTAAGCGGAATAATATACCAACACTTAGCGGGTGGTATTCACGGAACTCTCCAATCCGTTTATCTAAACTTTAAATACTTCTAATTCATAAACTATTACTTTAAAATATAAAATTAAAAATATACGTTATCAATCAAAAATTATAACGATAAAGTATTATATTAAAAATATCATTTTTTTAAAAAATTGTTTTATTTCGACTGGAAATTATGTAAAAAAATATTTTCAAAAAGATTAATAGATTTCGAAATAAAATGTTGTTTGGTTAAAACTTAAAAAAAAATCACACAAATGTTACTAACTAACAATGCAAATATTCAAATATTACCTATTAGGTTTTCGGGCAGCCGTATTGCAGTTGACTGTCACGCCCGACAAATCAACAAACATAGCCATCGCTGTAAAACGTATTCAGCAAGCAAAGTCGAAAGGCTGCACATTAGCTGTATTACCAGAATGTTTTACTACACCATACGACAATGGTAAATTGAAATAAAATTTAATTAATAATAATAATAAATATTAATTTAGAAATTTGAAATTATTTACATAATATTAATATTCACCAAGACATTATCTAGATTCTGAAAGAACTTTTATTTTAATCATAAATTTTGTACAGTAACAGATATTTACATAAATGAAATATTGCAATTACAAATAAAGTTTATTTTGAATATATCAGTTAATAGATTTTTAATATTTATTTTGTGTATTAAAAAAAAAAAATTCTGCATGTTATAATCTTTTAAAGTTTTGTAACTTTGTAACTATAAAATATAAACCTATATTTAAATATCTGATTTATAGTATATAGACTATACAATTTATTAAAATAATCTGTAAAAATCTGTTAAAATATTTTCTTCTCTATTAAATTATTATATTTAAGTAGGTCAATATAAAAATACACAATAAAATAAATATACCTGCAATTATAAAAATAAATTGTCTTCAATTTTATTTATGTAAATAAACATGTAATTTTCAGTCTAATCCAATTATTATTATTATTATTATTTTTTAGCTTTGTTTAGAAAATACGCTGAAACCATTCCTGATGGTGAAACATGTAAAGCTTTGTCACAAGCTGCCAAATCAAATAAAATGTACGTTGTAGGTGGTTCAATCCCAGAATTATGTGATAACAAAGTCTACAATACGTGTACGGTTTGGGATCCGAATGGAAACCTGATAGCCAAACATAGAAAAGTAATATTGACGTTTTAATAATTTATAAAAATAGTGAAATATCTAAATAACGGACATTTTCGAACACCGACAATTTTTCCGCTATTCGGAGATGTAGAGAATACCGTTATTCAGAAAAAATACATTTTTGAAATTCATAAAGAATGATTAAAATTAATTAGGTTTACGATATTTAGAGGTTTTTCCATAAAAAAAAGTAATGAAAATATCCCCGTTCTCCAAAAAAAGCTCACTATTGAGAAGAGTCCGTAAGAGGATATTTCTCTGTATTTACCTTATAATAATTTTATGTTAAAACTTTTATTTATATGATTAAACATCAAATTATACATTATTTTTATTTCATTGTTTAAAGTTTTAAAAGCTTAAAATTTATTTTTCAAAAAAAATTATTTACAGGTTCATTTATTTGATGTAAATATTCCCGGTAGTACTTGCTTCAAAGAATCTAATGCTATGTCTCCAGGCAATACACTTAATACGTTCCAATTGGACAAGTATAAAGTTGGACTAGGTATTTGTCATGACATGCGATTTTCGGAAATGGCAGCATTATATCAAAAACAAGGTTTGTCATTATTCATTGTAAATACGGAATAATACATAACATTAATAATATAATGTTATCAATAAATTTATGACTATTATTTAATGTAACATATTTTTTTGGATTTAAGGATGTGATTTGTTGATATACCCTGGTGCTTTTTGCACGGAGCTTGGACCCCCACATTGGAGCTTGTTAATTAGATTCAGAGCATTGGAAAATCAAACATTTGTAATTGCTGCTTCACCGGCCAGAGACACTAAATCTAATTACGTAGTATGGGGTCATTCAATGGTTGTGGATCCATGGGGTAAAATTGTAGAAGAAGCTGATGAAAAAGATATGGATTTATATGTAGATCTTGGTAAGATTAATTTTCATTGGTTATCCTAATCAGACCTTTCTGTTTGAAAATGAGTTTTATATTAAAACTATTGTTATCATTAAAATGTTTAGATTTTACTCTTCGGGAAAACATTAAACAGCAAATACCCATTAAAAATCAAAGAAGAACTGATATATACGATACAATTGATGTGAAAAATATGAATTAATGCAACTCTGATTGATTGATACTTATAATTAGACCTATAAATAGTCTAATTGGCATTTTTGGAAATCGGAAAATGGAAATTATTTTAATCATATATTAAGAGTTTTACTAGCTTGTAAGAAAAAAAAATGTTGAAACTCGTTTAAAAGTTAAATAAAAGTAATTAGATACTTAGAGTAAATTATAATCAAACCCTTTGTAATTATTTTTTAATATAATTTATAATACATAATACATCAAATCTAAAATATTTATCATCAAATAATTACAAAAAACTGTAACTGGTTAGATAAGTTAGGCGATGAGTAATGAAATTATAGTGATGATCAGGGCTAGGATTGCATGCTACATCATGTTTATTTTGTTATGTCTAAATGGAGTTTTAGTGAATAATGTCCGTAAATTGTATTATCCTGATGAAAATGGTACTATTTTTATTTTGTATATTCTTGCATATATTGGGCTTAATGCATATTTTTGCATATTTAGTATGATCGTATTTATTGTATTTAAACCGGTAATAATTAAATAGATCAAAGTATAAAACTCGGTTTTTGGTCAAACATAAATTTTATTTTTATAAATACAATCCTATGGTACAATATGCGATAAAAGAGTGAATAGTTTGATGGAGAAAGATAAACACAATTAATAAAAGTGTATAGGTATCAAATATCAATATAAAAATATAAAATCCAAGATAAGATACAATTTTTTGGGCATTAGTGTATACAATCCTAATCTTTTCAGTGTCGTAAAAACCATTCAATTATCCGTGTATCACCGTTTTAAACTGTTTTAGAAAATATTTTTAAAAGCTCCAACCCGAATACTTAAATTACATGAAATATTTTAAAATTTACCTTTTTCTCCAAAACCAGTGTTGTCACGATGGACAACGTGGCCGACTACAGTAACGTATTATGACGATAACTTATTTCAATTTAATTAAATCTATAACTGTGATCTTAGAACTAAATGACGAATCAGATTTAATAAAGAAAGCTAAAGAACTGTTTGATAATCAAAATTTAAAAAATGATTTAGCGTACATTAAAAGTAATTTTTGCTTTTAATCTTTAATCATAATTAAACTACAAAACCAAAATTTAACAGTTTAACACTTCATGAAAGTCTACAGATTATAATAAATACTAGGAATCGTCTTCTTGAGTTTAACGGAAGAGTCGCAGATATAGTAAAAAATAAAATATCCTTTGTTTTTAAAAAAAATAAAGGATTTAAAACTTTAAAATCAATAAATAAAATATTAAATTTTGAATCGGACAAGGACAATTTCATTTGTAATTTAATACCAGAACAAATTCCTTTTTTTAAACATGTGCCAACTGCCTAACTACATCATATGACGTTGAAAGAAGCTTCACCCAATACAAATCAATAATATGATTCAATCGCCGATCATTTATCGTCGAAAATTTAAAAAAATATGTGGTCGTAGTATGCAACACACATATTTACACAACTGAATATGAATTATAAATTATGTTACTAAAATAATAATTAGTGCACGCCAAAAATAAATAAATAACTTTTATTTTTTATTTCAATTATATTTTACGAAGACAATCAGCCAATCACTGATGTATTTCAATAAATAAATATTTTTTTTTTGTAATTATATTTTTATTTTTATGTATATATTTTAAAAATTAAAATGCATATTTTACTATCTTTTATTGCCAAAAAAATCCCCTAGCGCTGGTGATGACTATAATATAAAGTATTCTTAATAGGTACCTACTATCTATCTAGATTATAATATAAGTTAAACGTCTGGTGTCAAACTTTTAATTCTAACGCATTACGTTGGTAATATGTGTAAAACATCAACATCTTTAAATGTATATGAGATACCAATGAATCACCACTTTCAATTATAGTATATTTTATTAATAATAACGACTATTTTTTTATAGTTTGAAAACTATTGGTTAATTCATTGTGTATTTTATTGTATTTTTATCACAATTCTTAACAAAATTAAATCAATACTTTATTATTTAATACTGCACATGAACCTAAACACTTGTTATCATAGTTTTATCCACCTATATCTGTAATAACACAAAAATAAGAAAAATTAAAATTAAAAGTAAGATATTCAAAATTATTATAAAAGGGTAATTGTTATGAGTATGACGTGGCCGGACTGACACAAGGGACACAAGCCTTACATGTAAGTCCGGTATTAATAAATATTGAATGTACTTGTTCTTGCGCTATTACCTTCCTCCTGTTCTTCGGAGGGTTCTCGAGATCGTGTTTCGAGAATATGATCAAATACACCGTATGTAAATTAAATAGTAAAATATTTCGTACTGACAATAAGTATGTAGGGCATGCACCTTACCTGGTTCGCCGCGGTGTATACCTGTAGTACGATCCTCAGAGAAAGATATAAGATAATACAAGTTGCGATATGACTTAAGGAAAACTTAAATTTAAATAAGAAAAACAACACTGATTTTATCTTAGAAAAAGAAAGAAGTCCAGCTGTCGCCCGCAGTCTTGAGTTGTAGGGTGTGTGATGGGTCTTGGGAAGAGCTCCTGCTCGTTTGTATGATGCGCCTGCACTGCAATTTTGTCGGTGCTCATGCACTCGATAGTTTGGCTGGTGCTCATGCACTCGATGGTTTGGCTAGTGCTCATGCACTGGATGGTTTGGCTGGTGCTCATGCACTGACTAGAGAAGACGACGTGATCAAGACAGCCAGGGTCCCCGATGACAGAGAGCCTCATTGGACCATCCCTTGTCTTTGGCGGCACACGAAAATAGGTCAAACCATTGATTAATCATTCATATAATCAAAAAAAAAAAATGTATATTCAGGGCAGCAAATACTAATTTAACAGGTAACCATATAACTTTAGAAAAACTTCAGTTACACTTGATTTACCAGATCTAACGCAAAAAATGGGTTTGAGTGATGTATCTTATCCTTACAACAAAAATAATAATACGTTTTTAATTTTTGGTTAAGTTTCCAATTCTATAGATCGTTTTTTTCATTTCCTGATTAATTTTCAAAAATGGACGTATCTGGTTATTGCACCGGGGTTTTCAATTAATGATTATATTGGTATTACATTGATAATATAATATTTTCTGTAGCAAGTCCGGTAGCATATTTAAGAGGGACAAGTGGTGAAATTGATCAGGGCAATACTCTTTTGAGATAACTAATTTTAGTGCGATTTTGAAAAAAAAAATGTATATTCAGGGCAGCAGTTTCCTAAATACACTAATAAGACACAGATTTTTCGAATATTCGTACACAATAAACTAGATACAAATTATAGTATAATATTATTCAATAAATATATTAATATCAACGTGTTAAAATCGAATATTTAAATGATAGAATAATTAGATACGCACCTTCTCCACTGGATTGTAACATAATATCATAGATCCGTTAATATCTTGACTGCGCTTGCACCATTTGTACAACGTTCCTTCAAACGTGAAGGTTTTGGGTGGCAGTGGCATTTTATAATAACAACAATAAATAATTGAATAGATGAGAATCCAAATAAATAAGGTTGAGAACAATTAGCAAACAAATGCAACAAAAAGCTTAATAATTATTAAAAATCCAAATGAAATATTGTAATCCGCTAAAGCTCGTATACATATAGATTGTCCTAAAGAACTGATTGTTATTTCAAATTTATGTAAACACAAGAATATTCATGTTTATAATGAGTTGACATGCGATTTATATTTTTTATTTGAGCCATAACATTTTCTAGTTCGTAAATACTTACAGCTTTAAAACAACATATCTTTATTAACAGAAAAAACCTTCTGTATGTTAAATTTATGATTTTGAGTTTTAATGTGTATAAATTCAAAAAAAATAAACATTAGTTTAATAATATATCCTATAGATATTTCCGTACTTCGTTGTAGAATTTATAAAAAAAAATTAATGAAGCCTATGTGTTGTAATTTATAACTAATATACTCGTAAATAATCGCTTATGAAATATCTTCTATGATTAGGATGTGATTAAAAAGTAAAATATGACACCAGCAATTATCATTCAAAAATTCTTGTACATGATGTTTATAAATTAACTATGTAAGCTTGGAAAAAACATATACTATAATAAAATCTCTAGTGTAAATAATCATTGCCAATTTGTATAAATATATTAGATACTTCCATAAATATTGGATTTTTACTACATAATTTTTTTTCCAAATTAAAATTGAATATAATTTTAAATTTTTTAAACTTGTTTTGTAAATCAATGACGATTACAAAAGAAAAAAAGGTTTTTCGTACCTAACCTTTTTTTTTTATAAACTGCACCCGACAATCCTGAATAATTTTCAAAAATGGACGTATCTGGTTATTGCACCGGGGTCTTCATTATTCATATCAGTGATACGCGCAACAAATTGGCAACGAGAAATGAGGATGAGATTTTGATCTAAATACATGTTTAAAAAGTAACAACGATTTAATACATTTTATTGATTATTATTGATGTATCTATTTAATCGTGATAATAATAACTACCTGCTTTAAAATAGTAGTTAAATTAATAATTCATTTTATTATACTTTTTTCATATCTCGTTTAAGTTTTCCAAGCTCCGATCACAGGCTAACTTGCATTTTAGTAGGTACCTATGATGTCCTTTTCATTCTTATAATCCTATATTATCTAAACATTTTTATGGGACAGATATAGGTGGATAAAACTATAATAACAAGTGTTTAGGTCCATGAGCAGTATTAAATAATAAAGTATTGATTTAATTTTGTTAAGAATTGTGATAAAAATACAATAAAATACACAATGAATTAACCAATAGTTTTCAAACTATAAAAAAATAGTCGTTATTATTAATAAAATATACTATAAATATGGGATTTTATGAATGTTATCGGAGTTGATTTTCTATACATTTCTGCAGGTACTTTATAGTGACTTATATTTAAGCTAGGATATTTTGATCGTCATACCGAGAGATAAATTAATGAGTTGTACGCGATGCTCGTTGATTATCCCTAGACTTTGACATAGACGTCCCTAAACGATTTTCTAGGGAGGGAAATTAATCTAAAAATAAGTGAAGATTTTTATACATTCATAAATGT